ATCTCCAAACCCTTCTACCAACTAGGCAAGTGATTCTCTATACTATAGAGAACCTATCTCTCCATACACTCTCTTGATTTTAGAGTGTACAGGAACGAAGAAAAAGAAGAAAGAAGAACTGTACCCGCTCTGATACCAAGATGTGAATCAGTCTTCTAATATCAGGTTTAAAATCAGTAATTAACAGTGCAAATCGAAGAGAAGAGGTAGGAGAAGAATAAGTCGAATAATTCACCCTTATCCTCTAACCCTATTTTATTAATCTCTAAAAACTAATGATGACAAGTATGCCCTTAAGTGGGCGGCCAGCTTGGCAATTACATAAAGAAAATAAAACAAGAACAAATAACAGGCCCATTAAGTGAGGCCCATCAACATAAAATAAAAGATGAAAATAAAGGATATCACACAAGCAGCTGTTAGGGCTCATTCGACCCAGTCTCTTTACATTAATGATATATTAGAAATGTTACAAGAACCCCAAAGAGAGGCACGAGGTGCAACCTCCCTTGAGTTTGAGTGAGTGTAAAAACTATGCCAAATACATTACAATGTTGCCTAGTACAGATGTTCCCTCAATACCCCCTATTTAGCAAGATGATCAGCCAAAGCATTCGTTGACCTTTTCACGCAAAGTGGGCTAATAGTCATGTTATTTGTTAACCAACTTGCCTTTTTTAGATAATCCTTGTAGCACCAAATGACTGATTCTGGATCTGCTAACCAGCCGACAACAATCTTAGAATCTCCTTCAATTAGAAGATGCTCAACTCCTAAATGGTTTTCTATTTGAATGCCTTGTAGAGCCGTCAATAGTTCAGCTCTAACCGAGGCTCCTACTCCCACTGGACCAGAGTATAAAGCTAAGATGTTGCTGTCCTTATCTCTCAATACTCCTCCTATGCTTGAGGGGCCAGGGTTTCCTTGGCGCTTCTGTCAAAATTCAACTTTACCCAATTGTCAGGTGGTGGGGTCCAAGAGGAAATGATCTTTTTCCTTCCTAGAGGAGCAATTTGCCATTGCCATGGTTAAAAATGTCCTTAATTTCCCTAATATTTCCACGGCATATTTCCATTTCCATGGGTAGCGACACGAAATTTTACCAGAATCGATATTTTCCCAATGAACACTACCAGAATTATGTGGAGTACAAGAGATAGTTTCCATGATATATTTCCATTTCCATTTCCATGGGTAGCAACATGAAAATTTACTAGAATCGACACATTCTCTAGTGAACACTACCGGTACTATGTGGAGTACAAGAGATAGTATTATAACATAAGTTGGTGACAATATTGTAGACATGTGAAGTAACAAGTTATTGTTGACCTAACTTACATGATGACCACTTCGAGCTAGCTCAATATTCATTTCAAACATGAAATTTAATAGTAGTTTTTGTATGTGTAGTAGATTATTTAGTTGATCTATTACAACCGCGTTTCTTAGCTCTGAATGGTTTACATTGGCAACTTCAAAACATATTCTTTTGTCTATAACCTTAGTTTCTTAGCTTTGTTTAGTGATTTGGAACAAGATAAAATTTAAAAGGGTGTGCCTTTGCTTCTTTTATCATTTCATAAAAGATCATTCTATATTTTCCATATTTACAATGTTTCCACCATGCCTATAATTTTTATAATATTTTCAGACGATATTTCCGACATTTTTCTGACATGTTTCTTATATTTGGATGGCCAACATTTCCACCGACGTTGACATTTTTAAACCTTGGCCACTGCTAACCAGTTCCTCCAAAGGTCATAAAAAGAAAACAACTGGAAAGGATCCAAAGTTTTTATCCAGTGAATTGCCCTTGTTAGGATACACTCTTTGATAAGTAAAAGACTTCATCCCTTTTCTTGGAAAATCCTTGCATTCCTTTCTTCCCAAATTGTCCAAATTGCTGCATCTCTAATACATCTCCACATAATTCTCCCTCTTTTGTTGGGCCACACAAAAGTTGATGGATCAAAGAGTAGGCCTATATTTGCAGGTTGGTTCCACCTACATCCCAACAAGGCAAAAATCCAAACCCAAATGGTTACAGCGAAATTGCAGGAAATTAGTAAGTGGAAGCAATCCTCACCATTTGCTTTGTAAAGAATACACCAATTAGGGGGTTAAGGATTGTGTTTTGATAAGGGCAATTCAGTGGCTGAAAACCTTAAGTCTTTTTGACACTTATTTTTTGATGATCTTTGGAGGAGCTGGTTAGCAGTGGCTAATACATCTACCAAGAAGACTAGAATTATGGTGGAGTGGATGCTGCCTTAGGATGATGATATTAAGCTGAACTTTGATGGGAGTAGCCAAGGTAACTCAGGATGTTTGGGCATAGGAGGAGTTCTGAGAAATAAGGACAGCAGCATCATATCTTTATTTTTAGGCCTGGTGGGATTAGGAGACTCTACAAGGTCTGAGTTACTAGTTGTTGTACAAGGAATCCAGGTTGCAAACCAGCTAGGGATAGTGCATTTGCTTATTGAAGGTGATTCTCAGGTGGTTGTGGGGTGGCTGCTGAATCTGGATTCTGTGGTCTGCGGCTGTAGAGACCTCCTTAAAAAAGTTAAATGGATAACAATGAATATGACAGAGTTCAGTGGGTGGGCAATCAGCAAATGCGATGGTTGATTCACTTTCTAAACAAGGGGTTTCTTGGGATTCTTTATTTTGGGCTACTTTATAATTCATGTTCCAGTGGAATTTGAGAATCTGTGATCAATGTTAAAGGAATGGTTGCATCCTGTGCCTCTCCTACTATTGCTTGTAACTCTTATCTGTTAGGGTGTTATGGGAGGGGGGTGGGCTACCCCCGTTGTGTAGCCCCATGAAGCAAAAAAAAAAAAAGCCAAAAAATAAAACAAAAAAAATTCATTCATAAAAAAAACATATTCCCTTGATTGAAATCTGCAATATCTTGGGTCAACCTATAAACCCTTGCATTGCTCTTTCTTTGTCCATATTTGTCAGATAGTTTTTCCCAAATCTTTTGTGTAGTAGGATAGTGCTGAACTATCCTAGCAATCTTAGGTGTCATGGAAGACGGCAGCCATGACATGACAAGTGCATTTTCCCTACACCAACTCCCATATGTGGGTGCCTCCAACATAGGTTTTTTGACCTGTTCATTGATATATCCCAATATTCCACAATTTGTAATGTGAAGTTTTGTTGAAATAGACCATTCCTTGAAGTTGTATTCATCCAATTCCAACCTAACATTTGTAAATGTAATTTGAAGGGTGAGAAAGCTAGGGTTCTCTATGTTGTAGAAACCCTCAGGGAGAAAATGGAGCAAGTAGCTGTGCTTCACAAATCCACAGAAAACTCAACTCTAGATGCAAGAGAAACAAGCCAAAACCAAGTGCTCTCTTTTGGTTAAACAAGAACCTACACAGAAACTTGAATCTCCCACTCAATGGATCTATAAATTTCTCATGAACTGTTCCTGATAACTGCTAGACCCGCCGTTTATAGGTCACTCTAGTAGTTCAAAGACTACTCAAAGCTTATCTATAAAACATAGTTGTCAAGGCGACGCCTAGGCTACAAGGCACCCTTGGAGGCTTGCCTCACCCAGTTGCCAAGCAGTTTTGTGCACTGGGTTATAAAATACTTTTATATTTTTAATTTTTTGACATTATAATTATAAAATAGACATTATTAAGCTAGAATATTTATTTTATGTGTTTATATACTAATTTATTTTTATTATTTTCTTATTTTGTTAGGGTTTAATCAACATAAACATTGCTAACTGCTGTATTGAACCCATGGTTCAAAGTATCGATACACCTCTATGTATTGGCAGAGGTGTATCGGTACTTATAACGATACTCCCCCTATATTTTTTTATTTCTTTGGTTTTCATTTCATTTTTAAATATATATATATATTATTTAAAAAAATGGGTCCCCGAAAGCACTTGTAAACAGGTATTGGGACCCCAAAGATACAATACAATTCACCCGATATGGGGCGTATTGTATTGAAATTTTGATACTTGATTGAACGCTCAAAAATTTCAAAACCTGAACCAATAAGCAAGGGAAGAACTAAAATTTTGTTTAATCAACACATTTTCTTCTTCCACATCTTCTTCTTCTACCTTTTTTTTTCTTCTTTCCTATAAGAAAAGTAGGGGTTCAGCCCCTATTTTTTTTGAATTTTCTTTCCTTTGTTCTTTTTCTTCTCATAAATTGTTGATTTTCTAGACTTAAACATGAAATTTATACTTCTCTTATGAAAATTATGAATAATTGTTAAGGAAAGATGGTTATGGAACCTAGGGAACTACCCTAGGATATATGGTTTTACTTAAAAAAATCCATCGTCTAGGCGACAAGGTGCCACCCTGTCCCCTAACCTCGCCTTGGCGCCTTGAAAACTATGCTATAAAATTCTCCTGAACTGTTCTTGGTTTCCCTGTATCTTTTCCAACAAATAAAGAAACCCTAAAAGGAGCTTCAGTAAACCACAAGCAGATCTAGGGTTTTTTACCAAGCTTCCCAACAGTAAAATAGGAGCACTTGACTGTTGGCAGGAACAGTCATATGGAATTTTAAGAGAAAAGAAGAGAAAAGAAGAGGAAGAACTGAAGAAGAACAAGAGAACAAAGAAAGGAGCAGCAGAACATAATCTGTCCAGCCCCAAAATGACATTTATATGGGAGATTTCAAAGATTAACATGAAAATACATAGCTTGCCCTCACTAGGAGGCGGCAAGAAAACAGAGTACATAATAAGTAAGGCCCATATAAGCCATATAAATGAAATAAAACATAACAGGGGCTAAATAGGCCAAAACCCCACATCATTTGGTCTTACAACAGCACCCCTAATAAGACCTCTAGAAATTTTTGTATTTCTTGTATTATATACATTGTAATCTTTGTACCTTTCTCGTTTGATAAAATCATTTTTGATCTATTAATTAATTTCTTATTCATTAATATTAAAATTCTCACTGACATTATTTTCATTTTTCTCAATAGTTGGTTTGCCAAATGCTGGACTACATGCTTAATCCATTCTAGGAATAAAAAGATGGCTCGTGATATTAGTTGGAAACACTGTACTATAGTGCAAGATGCAAAACGTGGAAGACGTGGAACTGTGCTTGTATGTAACTATTGTGGAAGAAGATACAATGGTGGTTCTGGGGTACATCATATAAAGTGCCACCTAGCAAGAATTGGCAAGGAAGCAAAACCCTGCCCAAATGTTCCTCCTCATGTTGAAGAGCTGATCAAGCGTGATCTTGGAGAAAATGTTCAAAGGAAGCGGAAACCACAACCTACTGCATCTGAGGATATACAGATAATGGACAGTTGTGATAATTCCACTAAAAGGAGCAGAAAAGTACATATAAAGCCCAAAATTTCTTTGTGTAGTTTAGAGTTATCAATGACCTTTTGTCCAAAGCATTTGAAATATAGCATCTTGAACTTCAAGCTAGGAACAAAATTGAATTAACTTTGAAGTTCAATATCCTTCCTGTTGTTCTTGGTTTTATCAATTCCATTAATTTTCACATACATTACATGTTATTCATGTAATTAATTATGATTTTCTTTTCAGGATGACAGGACGAAAGAGCAATTTGAAATGCAAGACAGAACTGAAGAATTAGTTATGTTCCAGCCTACTCGTAGTGTGCATGGGAACAAAGAAGGATCCCAATTTGAAGAAGCCTCATCTCATGTGGTACAGGTTTTTCATTGAATTCCTAAAGATGTTGTTAACTCTTTCTTGTCAACTTTCTTGTAGGGGAAGTATGCACTCTAGGTTACGTTTGTAGTACTTGAGTTATGCCAAATTGTCATTGACATAATGTCATGATAGGGATGTTTGATAACAGCTGAAGCAGTGTTTTAGAAGTGCAAGGGTCATTTTGATCCCAAGGTGCAAGGCGCAAGGTGAGGCGCATGCCTTTTTGAAGCAAGGTGTACAAATGCAAAAAATGCTAAGTTCAAAAAAGTGCAAAATATTAAAAATATTAAACACAATATTAATTAAAAATATTAACTTAAGTTTAAAAAAATGTTTTAAAAAGACCTATAATCTCAAATGAAAATAGATAAACATAACATTTCTGTTAGTGTAGGGGTATTTCTGTCTTTGTACTTATGTTGAGGTTGCTGATCTGTAATATTATAGTGGTGAGATTTCAGGTAGTCGTAGGGTAGGGTTTGTGGTGTAAAGTGTGCAGTCTTCAACAATAACAAGTGCTGAAACCAGTGTGATCAATGTGCTCAAACAGTGTGCAGTGTGCCGAATTCAGTGATAACAGAGTTCAGCAATGGGAGATAATAGTGATAGAAAATCTAATGTGATGATACCTACTGACTATCTGAATGTTCAAATGACCTCCATTAAACTGAATGGAGAGAATTATGTACCTTGGGCTAAATCTGTAGAAGTTTTTCTGAAAGCAAAGAAGAAGGTGAAACACATAAGGGAGGAGAAACCCTCCCCTGATTCTCATGAGTATGAAGACTGGGAATAAGAGGATGCACAAATTATCACATGGCTATGGAATAGTAYGGAACCCAAGATTAGTGTAAATTTCATGTTTCTTGACACTGCCAAAGATGTGTGGGACCATGCTAAGAAGTTGTGTTCTGGTCAAGACAWTACAACCARAGTATATCAGCTGTATCAGGAATACTTTAATCTGCAACAGGGCAATCAGAGTCTTGAGGAGTACTATGCTAGTATGAGAAACATCTGTAATGAGTTGAATGTTTATCACCCCCTCACTTCTGATGTCAAAATTCAGCAACAACAGAGAGAACAATTTGACGTGACTCGATTTTTGGTGGGGCTAAAGTCTGAGTATGAACCAGTACGGGCTCAGATACTAGGAGGGTTGGCTCTCTCCCTTCTTTTGAAGAGGTGTTTGCTCGATTTCGGAGGACTTCTATTGGATCTAGTGAGAACTCTAATGTCTCAGGTAGATCAGCCTTTGCAGTGTCAAGGGGCCGTGGTGTTAGAGGTGGAGCTCAATCTGGCCGTGGTGGTAGCAGTGGTCCGGTATATGGCCGGAGTGGTGTGGTCGTACTGGAGGTAGAGATTCAGGGGGAACCCGTGGTAGAGGACGTGGCTCAGGTCTGAGGAGGTGTACTCATTGTGGTATGGATGGACATACCATTAATTATTGCTATGACTTGCATGGTCCACCCTCAAGTTGGGCCAATCATGCCATGACTAGTGACACCAGTTCCAGTTCTAGACAGGAGAATCGTTCAGCTGATCAGATGCCTCTTACATCCACAGATGGTTCTGGGAAGGAGATGATGAGTGTTCCACGTGATGAGTATGAGAGGTTTGTCCAATCCACATCTCAGTAGAACACAACTACCTTTGCACACTCAGGTATGACTTGTTTGGCATCTACACCCAATCCCTGGATTATTGACTCTGGAGCCTCCGATCACATGACTGGAACTCCAGGTGTGTTTTCTTCCCTCTCTCATTGCTCAACATCACAATCTGTTACCCTTGCTAATGGTTCTACATCCTCCATTTGTGGTGTTGGTAATGTTGACTTGGACCCTGTATCCCTATCCTCAGTTTTGTATGTCCCTAAATTTCCGTTTAACCTTATGTCTGTTAGTAAGTTGACCAAGTCACTTAATTGTTCCATTACCTTTTACCCTTATATGTGTGTTTTTCAGGATCTCAAGACGGGGATGAAGATTGGTGGAGGGCATGAAGCTGGTGGATTGTATTATCTTGACGGTGGTGGAAGAACATCAACAGCTCTCTAGTCATCTCTCTCCTCTCCAGTGGCATTGTTGATTTGGTCATCCTTCACTGAAAGTTTTGAAATCTTTGGTTCCTTCGTTGAGTCAACTTTCTATTTTAGATTGTGAGTCATGTCAGTTTGGGAAACACCATCGTGTTCCCTTTAGTTCTAGAATTGATAACCGTGCATTGAGTCATTTTTCTTTGATTCACTTGGATGTTTGGGGTCCTTATAAAGTGATGTCATACAATGGATATAGATATTTTGTCATTTTTGTTGATGATTTTTCAAGGATAACGTGGCTTTATTTAATGAAAGAAAGAAGTGAATTGTTTACCATCTTCCAGAAATTTTATGCTGAGATTCGCAATCAATTTGGTGTTCACATTAAAATTTTTCGTTCTGATAATGACCGTGAATATTTATCTTCATCATTTCAAGAATACTTGGACCAAAATGGCATTATACATCAGACCTCATGTACCTACACCTCACAACAAAATGGGGTGGCTGAGAGAAAGAACCGTCATCTCTTGGAAATAGCCCGATCCATCATGCATCACATGAATGTTCCCAAACCCTTTTGGAGTGATGCAGTGCTTACTTCTTGCTTCTTGATTAATCGGATGCCCACGTCTATCCTTGATGGTCATTCCCCATTTACTACCGTGTTTCTCACGTTGTCTTCGTTTCCTTTTTCTCCCTGGGTATTTGGGTGTCTGCTTGGTCCATAATCTAGGCCCCGGGAACGACAAGTTAGATGCACGATCCCTTAAGTGCATCGTCCTTGGCTGTTCTCGGACCTAGAAAGGGTATAAGTGTTACCATCCTAGTTCTCGACGTTCCTTTGTGTGTGCTGATGTTACCTTCTTTGAGTCTACTCCGTTTTTCTTGGGGTCTGGTGATGCTTCTTCCTCCTCATCACCTCTCCATCTTCCACTTCCAGTTACTGATTTTGTTCCCTTGTTCTAGCTGTGACCAAGTCCTTGCCTCCGGTGCCACCTTCTGTTGAATGCCCACCTATCCGTCAAGTGTATACACATCGCCCACGTGTACCGGCTGCTACTCCTCCGGCTCCATCACCGTCGACAGATTCGGCAGTTGTCTCTTCGCCTGCCCCGAACCCAGTATCTGATCTTGATCTTCCCATTGCCTTGCGGAAAGGTAAACACACTTGCACCCTTTATCCTATTTCTACTCATGTTTCACTCACTCACCTTTCTGCTTCCCATCGCCGGTTTATTTCTTTGTTATTCTCAGTTGTTGTTCCTAAGGATGTCTAGGAAGCCCTTGCCTCTCCAGGGTGGTGCCGTGCAATGGAAGAAGAGCTCTCAACTCTACTTCATAATCATACTTGGGACCTCACCGCTCTTCCTCCTGGGAAGCAGGCTGTCGGTTGTAAGTGGGTTTATACTGTTAAGTATTTGCCCGATGGTAGTGTTGAGTGCCTGAAAGCTCGATTGGTTGCAAAACGGTACTCCCAAATCTATGGTATTGACTACACAGAGACCTTCTCCCTAGTTGCTAAGATAGGGTCGGTTCGTGTTGTGATCTCTCTTGCAACTATGTATGATTGGCCCCTATATCAGCTTGATATCAAGAATGCCTTTTTGCAWGRTGATTTGCTYGAGRAGGTYTACATGGAGCAACCACCAGGGTTTGTTGCTCAGGGGGAGGATGGTAAGGTATGCAGACT